TGTGTTCCTGCCCCCAGGACTTCCCGTGGATCCTTGCTGACGAGCAGGACGTGCACATGCACGACCCCCGGCTTATCCCCCTGAAAACCATGACATCTGACATCTTAAAGGTGAGCAGATCTGACCAAGAGGTGGCTGAACCTGCTGTAGTTCTGAGCTTTGTCTGCTCTCACACCAGCTCTGCAGTTTGCTGTGGGGTGACAACTTTAATACTGCTGAGCAGTAGCTTAGCCTTGCAGGTGTCTGTGCCAGTAATCAAAGCAGGGCAAGACTCCTCATAATAAAATAACCCCCTGGTTATGGGGGGAGGTACAAACCTTTCCTATTCAGCCTGTTGTAGGCTTTTCCCCTTTCTGTACACCAAACAGGACTGATGCTGGTTTCTCTCCTCCAGATGCAGCTCTATGTAGAGGAGCGAGCCCACAAAGGCACCTGATTTCCACTTTTCCTTGCCTTCGAGCCTCATGTGATCTTCCAGTGGAGTAAGATCTGTCACAAACCATACCTTGAGAACCATCTCTTCAGCCAGCCTTCTGGTGAATGTAGAGCAGCTGCTGCCTCTTTATTTCAAGTGCTCTTACCGCTGTATATAGAACTGACTTGGAATGTGGAGCCAGAGCCTGTTCCCATGTTGACTCGTGTGAGAGTGAGTACAGGTGTTGTTACAGTGCATCCCTGGGGAGTCAGTGCTTTGTACCAATCCAGTTCTCACCTGAGGGGGCAGCTCCCTTGCACAGGGGCAGGGATGGACAGCAAGGAGCTGTTCCACGAGAGCAATGGACTCGTGCTAAGGGGGAGTGAGGCCTTATGTAGTGTCTGTCCACTGTGACTGTCCCAAGTAGTCTTCAATAAATATGAAGTTTTACCCCAGTTGAACTGGGCTGAGTCCTGTTCGAACCAGCCCCCCTTCTTAAGTGAGGAAGTATTTTTCTGTGGAGCTTTCACCACTTTTCTGGCACATATGTGGACTCTGTCAGTTCCTAGGAAAGGCTCCCTTTCCATGGGAGACCTCTCACCCACAGGTGGCATTAGCAAGGTGGAGTTTGGTGTAAGAGCCTGCCCAGCACCTCCTGCTTCCTCCAGGTAACAAGTACAAGAACACTGCAGATTGAGGCTGGGCGTTGCTTTAACATTTTATATTGGGTTACACAGTTCAATACAAAACAAGCTCTGCTGTGAACAAGGAAAACAAGCTGCTTGTGTTTGCAGGACAAAGGACACTCACCCAGGGAGTACAGACAAAAAGTGCACCTGAGGCCACCTGGTTACAGTCCTGAGGTAAAGCAAACCATTTTATTGTGCCTTCATAACAACGTGTGGGGCCCAATGGTGATGCTGCTGTTTGTCACACGGACCCCATACCATCCTGCCCAGAACTGGGTGTCCTGCCCTCCGTGCTGGAAAAAGATGTGGCGAACTCCTGCTGGGTAATTCCGGAATGTGTGGGAAATCTGGAGAGAAATAAGAGAGTTCCTCTTAATTTGCCAAACTAGACCCGAACCTCAGACAACTACAGTCTGTGAGTCTTTGAGCTTTTCCTGAGACCAAGATACCTTTCACTGAAAGTGCACCATACCCCTTTTTTGGGGGATGGGGCAGAAAAAGCCTCTCACTCAGCCTTCTGCCCTGAAATGTTCTCTGAGTCAAACTAACAGTAAGCTCAATTATTAGGTGCATTTGTCACATAAGTAACATCTAATGTGGATGTTACTTATGTGGTTGTTACAGAAAATCAAACCAGTTAAACACCTTTAACAGTTTAAGAAAAGTTAAGTCTGCAATACTTGGCCATCCTTGCACAGTAGTTTTGAAAAAAAGGTTTTTGATCTGGAAAAACAGCAGTCTGCTCTTGTGACTTAGTTATTTAGACAAAAACTAGGTGAAACCCAGAAACAATTAAAAAGACTGAATACACAGAAGCCCCGGGGATATTATCTAGAAAATCCTGGGCACCTAAAAAGGAACTTGACTTGATCAGGGCACCACTGCTTCTCTGGCATCATCACCAGCAAGGACTGACTCACTGTATAGAGGAGACTGGAGAGCAAGGTCCACTGGGACTTTTGGCCAAGTAAGACTGGCAAGACTCAAGTGCCACAAAACTGATATAAAGCTCCTGCCCCCGGGGTTGCTGCTCACCTCTCTCCACTTGGCATCACTCCACTGCTCGATGATCACGGGCTCGGGCTCGAACTCGTCCAGGACGATGTAATCAGCCGAGAGCAGCCGCACCCGGAGCTCGTACTGGCACCCGCAGTCGAACCTGGCAGCGTACCTGGGGAGGCAGAGGAACCCAGGGCTGTATGTACAGCCCTCACTTCCCCTTGGGGTTCAAAAACAGTCTCCAAGAAGATCCCTGTCTGTACATGGAAAGGACTGTCATCCCCATAGCTGTGGAGAAGTTCTATAACTTCCCAGGATTGCCACCTCCTTGCACCCCTTTAATAAGCTCAGATGTAGCTTATGCTTTACTTGAGAGCTACAACTCCCAAGGGATAAAGAACTGATTTTATAGCATGAAAAGCTCCACAGGCCTAGCTTAATTCTAGGCCAATACCAGAAATTCTAGTTTTCAGTGCATCCTCTTACCAGTCCTTGACTACAATTTCAGGCCGTATCTCATCCATCAGCTGATCTTGGTATCCTTCGTTCTTCAGAGTAATGAGCTGAGACTTGAGGCATAACCTGAAACAGCCATAGAAATACTCACAGTTCCTCAAAACATCTCTTCCCTCTCACTGTCCATGTCCTTTCCCTGACAGATGTACTGCCTGCCCAGGCATTGAAGGCCCACAAACCTGACCTGGCTAAGGCCTGCCTTTTCCATAGCCAGAACTGGATAAGGAAATGAACTGAATTAGCTTCATCCCCAGATAAAAGGGATAGTTACCTACAAGCAGGATTAAGAGGGGTCCCTGCACTTGTGTACTGGAACAGGAAACCCCTGCCTAGTGCATGTAAAAGCAGCTAATCCTCCTCTGCTGACACTCTGTTTGCATGACACACCTACCACTCCTGGAGGTTCCAGAGCCCTGTCAGGTAAGTGCAGCTGATTATGTTTGCCAGAGCCTTCACCTTTGCCCATCAACTCTGGCAGAGGAGAATTATTGTAACTATAAAATCCACGTGGATGATTTTAACTATAAAAATTACAGTAGGTTCCTGGTAGGGACAGAAAAACTTGGCATATACTGTGACCAATTCTCTCAGCAGTACCCTGTCTCTTTAGACTAATTGGCATAAAGGCTTAATTAAGCTCCTTCCTTTTCCCACAGCTGGGCTAAGGTTCAGTGACCTGCCTCAAGCCTTCTAACCATGGTGCCTGTGCAGACACACAGAGGAAAGGAGGTTTCCCAGCTCCTGATTACTGCAATCCAGTTCTTACCCAAATGAAGTGACAAAGTATTTGTGTACTGTGGGGTCTGGCATCAAATTTCCATGATCTCCAGGCAGATCCTCGATTTGCCATTGATTTCCGTCGTTGCGGTCAATTGTCCAGTGCTGGAATTTCTCTACAAACACAGGTGTCCAAGATGAGGGTTAGGACCTCACTTCAGCTACCAGCAGGAGCTCTGCTTTCATTAAAGAGTCAGCTACAGGAGAATTCTATTAAGCTACGTGGAGTTTTCAGATCCACTGTATTTTTCCTACGACCTGGAAGTGACTCCTGTCATTAGGTTGCTTTTCATGGGGCTGTCAGCAGGTAGCTGTGCCACATCACAAACCCTCTGACCACATCACAAACTCATCGTCAGCAATAAAGTAGAATTACTGTAGTCCTATTAGTCAAGTCTTTGATAACACAAAGTTCTCCAGCTGCCCAAACGTTTACTGCCAATACCCGATAGTTTCATTACCACCTTGTACTTGCTGTGCAAATTAATTGTCACCGTCTGCAGTGCTGGAGCCTTGTGACCCCAGATTTTTCTGGTTGCAACCACAAAGCACTGGTAAATACACACCCGTCTACCTACAGCAGTTCTATTGCTGGTGTTGAGCTGGATCTGACCCAGCAGAGCTCCACCAGCAGCTGGACAGTCCTGCAGCACGAGCAGTTGAGTCATGCAGGATATACTGACTCACTCTGACTTCTCGGAAACTCTTAACTGCTAAAATAACGAAACCAACCTTCAGCGCAGGGGTTTTTGATTAAGTTTCTCTTCAAGTGGCAGAGCATATAGAAGACCCTCCAGTCAGAGATGTTCCTGTCCAGGCTCTGCTGATAAAACCCGTCGCGCTGGCACTTTCTCTTCCAGAGGGTGTTGAGGTCCACCACGTACCGCCACTGCGCGCACACCAGGCGGCAGCTGCGGAGCAGGTCCCGGGCGGGCAGCAGCGACAGCAGCTGCACCAGCACGTCCTCGGGGAGGTCGCCGATGGTTGTCATGGCTGAGGGCGGGGGGGAACCACAGCCCCGGGGCACACACAGGCTCTGCCTAAGGCAGGGGCAGAGCCACGGGCAGCCCGGCGGGCCGGGGCCGCGCAGCTCCGGGTCAGGGCCCCGGCCCCGCTCCGGTACCGACCTGCGCCCTCCGGCCCCGGATGTGCGGGCGCGGCCCTTCCGCGGGGCGGGGGAGGGAGGAGCGCGGGCGGGGCCGCCGGGCTTTATCAGAGCGGCCCGGACCGCCCTCCCCGAACCCGCAGCCTCGTGTCGGGACAGCCCAGCCCGGCCCCAACGCTCCCGCCCAGGTAAGAGCGCTCGGTGTCCCCCCGAGCCCCTGCGGGTGTCCTGGGCTGTCTCCGGGGACAGACGGGGACACGGCACGGGGTGGGCGCTGCCCGCGATGCCGGGACGCGGATCGGTCCCGGCGGGTGATGCGGACCGGTCCCGGAGGGTGATGCGGACCGGTCCCGGAGGGTGATGGGGACCGGTCCCAGAGGGTGATGCGGACCGGTCCCGGGGGAAGATGCGGACCGGTCCCGGAGGGTGATGCGGACCGGTCCTGGGGAGGATGCGGACCGGTCCGGGGGAAGATGCGGACCGGTCCCGGAGGGTGATGGGGACCGGTCCGGGGGAGGATGCTGTGAACTGCGGTGGGAAAGGGAAGGTACCTCCTTCCCTCTCCCGAGTGCGGGGGATCCTCGCTAACGAGGAGAGCGGCGGTGCTCCATCAGCAGGCGGGGCCTCTGAAATTCCTGTAAGAGATCAAACCAGCGAGACTGCTCATGTTTCTGGGGTTTTTTTGGGGTTTTTTTTTTGGTTTTTTTTGTTTTAAATTACATTTTAGCCTTCAGGACTGTGCTGGAGGGTTGGAAGTGGGGAGAATGGGAAATCACTGATGCTATTCCCAGAAAAGCCAGGGAATTTTAAATGACAGTTTGTCCGTGCTGGCTGCAGTGCAGATAGAGAACATACGATGCCCTGCACCTGAACATCTAGATTTAGGATGCTGTTACAGCAGTGACTCTTTATTTCTTCCCTCCCTTGCCAGGTTTGGCACTGCTGTTTTTCTTCAAGTCACATGTCAGGATATTTCCCCTCTGTTCCTGGTGCTCTCCCAGGCTTAATGACTCGTTCCCAAGGAGTTTGGCTGCATCCATGCAGTTCACTGCAGTCTTAGCAGCTTCCCAGCCCCAGGACTCAGCTGACACAACAGCAGTGTCACAGTGCATCCGTCACTGGTGACAGGGGCTCTGAAACTGCACAATCATCTTTCCTTAGTCCTGCAGCACCTGGGCCTCAGGGCAGCAGAGAGCTGTTTGGAGGCCAGAATTAGCACACACTTCTGACTTAATGGCTCGGGTTATGAGGCCAAAGAAAATGGAATATTAGAAAATATCAACCGAGTTATTTTCAGCTATGCACAGACCTGTACTTTATACGAGCTCATGACTAAGGGGATTAAGTGCCAGCCCCCTGAGGGAAAGCCCATCAGATATAGAATGAACCACTGCAAGGGTGGCTGGCAAGATGCTCACTGCTGATATTTGGGTACTGCTCTGCAGCATTTGTTATCAGAGATGTTCCTAAAGGCAGAACAAGCACCCCCTCTGCCTCCCTCTGCAGAAGAAATAATTACTAAGAAGCTGATTTTTGCAGCAGCAGAGATTCTGGAAGGACTGATGCCAGTCTGAGAAACAAACAAGCTGCCCACAGTTGCAGATGTCAAGTACTTCCATTTTATGGGGGGATTTAACTCAGCTTTCACTTATGACATAAAATATTCATCTGCTTCAGCATATTAATGGGTGTCAGGAGGCCCTGAGGTCAGGGAGAAATCTATGGCCCCAAAATCAAGCCTTCAAATAACACACTTACTTTCCCTTTTTTCCTACTGCCTCAGCGTCTGACGCTGCTGAGCCCAGGGATGGAGTCCCTCCCTGAAGCAGTCCTGATCCGAATCCTGGCTGCCATACCTGCCGTGGATCTGGTGCTGGTGTGTCGCCTGGTCTGCTGCCAGTGGAAGAACCTGGTCGATGGAGCTGCACTGTGGATCCTGAAGTGCCAGCAGGAAGGGCTCACTGGGGCAGAGTCAGAGGAGGATGCAGAGAACTGGCAAAACTTCTACTTCCTGAGTAAGAAAAGGAAGAACCTCATCAAGAACCCATGTGGTGAAGGTGAGAGACAAGCACAACCTGCCCCGAGATTTCAGAGAGATAACCAGTCACAGAGAATGGGCATTTCCACTCTTTGAAAGCAGATCTTAGCTGCTGTCAGGTTGCAGAATTTTCTCCTTGCCCAAGAGTCAAATCACTCATTGCACGCAGCCAAATCATTTAATGGGCACGAAGGCCTTTGATAATCAGTCTTTGCAAAGGGCTTTACTTCACATTAGGTTTATATAACCCCTGCAGGGATCCAAATCAAGTTTAAGAGACAAAAATGTCCTTTGCAGAACCCGTCCAGTGCCGTAGTGGTCGTGGCATCTGTTTCTGTATTGCTTCTTGCCAAACCATGACAGGAGAGAGGAAGCCTTTCTCTGCTCAGGGGCCTGTCTGCCCTCAGCTCACCAGCCCTTCAGGCTTCTTTCCTTGGAGCAGCTCAGGCAAATCGTGTTTTTCCCCTCCCCACAGAGTCCACGTACCCCACGTGCCATTATTCTGGATCCATGAGCTTCACTTCCCAGGGCTGCAGTAGCAATAAGCAGCAGTAAACAAGCCTCACAACCCAAGCAGCAACAATTTCACACATCACAGACCAAAGCAATATCAACACAGTTTCTCCATTTGACTCTGCAAGCTTTTCCAACATCCAGGCTCCCTCTGGCTAAGACCAGAAAAGCCCTATGTTTAAGACCTTACTGCTTCTGAAAATACCACTTAGAGATTTAGAAAACAGAAATAAAGCAATCAGCATCTCTCCCCAGGCTGTTTCTGTCTTGTGACCACTGGAAGTGCTGATACACTGTTCAGAATACCTAAATCCTTTCCCTGGAGTACTTCCTTAGACAAACCTACAACTACACAGCCATTTTGCTGGGGAATGTTAAAGTTTGGTAGTACTAAGCTCAGCCAGACTAAAGGTTTTTGCCTGACCTCTACTTAACATATCCGTGGTCTACATACAAAATTAGTGCTGTGTGTAACACTGAGCCTTCTCAAGCCAAAAGAAGGTTCCAGTGGGAGATGGTCAGGTTCCTCAGGCCCACAGAAACTAAGACTCATCCAAGTCTCTTCTCTGCCATTTGCAGAAGACTTGGAGCACTGGGGAGAGGTAGAGAATGGAGGTGATGGCTGGAAAATTGAAGAGCTCCCAGGGGACTTTGGAAAAGAATTCCCTAGTGAAGAAGTCCATAAATACTTTGTTACATCTTATGAGTAAGGCTGCTTTCTTCTCTTATTTAGGGAAGGGAACATTTTTGGTTCCCCCAGTCCCAGGAGAGACCGTGATACCAATAACATCTTGTCTTTCAGATGGTGTCGAAAGGCTCAGGTCATTGACCTTAGGGCTGAGGGCTACTGGGAAGAGCTGATGGACACAACCCAGCCTAAAATTGTGGTAAGAGACTGGTAAGTAGCAAGGATGCCTCAGAAGGCAGGCAGAGAGCCAAGAAAGAAAAGGAAGGGCAGGGAAGGCACGTACCTCATATATACTGGGCCTTAAAACCTCAGCTGCCAGGATGCCCTGGAAGTGGAACAGGGCTCACAGGCAGCTCCCACAAGCTTCAAAGTGTTGGTGCACGTGAACTCCAGAGCCCCGGTTCCTGTTGTGAATGAGGGGAGGTGGTGGGCTGGGGCAAGAACCATTTCCACCTCAAAGCAAGGCCCTTGGTGGGAGTGGAGAGCCCGTGTTCTGGCTCTCTGCAGAGCTGCCAGGCGGTGCCAGCAGCGGGCTGTCCCTGCAGGTACGCGGGACGCCGCGACGCCGGCTGCCTCTACGAGCTCTGCGTGAAGCTGCTCTCGGAGAACGAGGATGTGCTGGCTGAGTACAAAAGTGAGACTGTTACCATCCCACAGGACAACGATGGCAGCTGGACTGAGGTGAGTTGCAGCCTCAGAAGGTGACACCCAACCTGCATGAATTGGGAATATTTTGAAGCAGAGGGAAGCAGGAAAGTTCTCCTGGAGGAGGAGAAGGCTCTGTCACGTGTTCTCTGGAGCCATGATCCTGTGATTAAACAAAGGGATTATACTGGGAGGCTACCTTGCAGGAAACTTGGAAACTTGCTGAGTTACCACTGCAGGTATAAAGTGAAGGAGATGTCCAAGTGGGAGAGGTTCTGAAAGAAATAATGGGATCAAAGCTCCTTCCACTGTAAATGTCCCCGTTGTTACCCAGCCTGGCAGGTGTTACTGGGGCTGTGGGGCTGAAGGCTCTGTGCACTGTAGGTTCACGGTGGTTTGATGCTTACCAACAACCCTTTTTGTCTCTTGTCCCCAAGATCTCCCACACCTTTTCCAAGTACGGGCCCGGGGTGCGCTTCGTGCGCTTTGAGCACGGCGGCCAGGACACGCTGTTCTGGAAGGGCTGGTACGGTGCCCGTGTCACCAACAGCAGCGTGACAGTGGAGCCGTAGCCATGCTCAGCTGGGGCCTGCATGCTGGAGCTGACTTCCCTCAGGGCATCCCACGGCCTTTGGATGGTCTCTGCATGGTGCTGCTTCTGGCTGTAGAGCATTAACGCGCCTGCAAGACGCCGGGAGCCAGCGCCCAGCCTTCCTCAGGAGGACTGTGCAAAGAGTGGGGATGGATCTGAGATTGCACCACAAGGCTCAGCCTCACCACTTGCACTGATGTTCTCCATCAGACGGGAGATGACCTAAAAGTCCTGCAGACCTTCTCTCCTGAGCCATTAACCCCAAGCCAGACACCCCTCCTGCCTGCTCCCAGACTTGGGCACTCCTTAACTTAGAGGGGCACTTAAGGCATATTTTCTGGAGGTGAAGAGTGGAAGAAAGTAGGAAAGAAAAACATAGACCTTGTGCCTGAGAACGTACCAGGGAAACCCAGAGCCCTGTCACAGCTCTGTCACCAACTGCTTCCATGGCCTGCAGTGAGAACCTTGGCTTCTCCCATTTACAAACAATAGATGTCATTGCTTACCACAGAGGGGCTCTAGCTTGGCTGCCAAGTGCTATTAGTTTAATTTTTAGTGATAATGCAAAACAAGAGGGATTGGATCCTTTTCCCTTAAACTGTTCCCAGTATCCATTTATCAAGGCAAGTGTTGGGAACAGAAACCTGTCTGGTGTCCAACCCTGGGGCTTCATTTGGCTCCCTCAGACAGATGACAACTGACAGTAATTGCTGGGAGAGAGAGAGATATGACAACAACTTAAGGAAATAGGTAAGGAAAAATTGGGGGTGGGGTCCAGGAACAAATGAAAACAAACTAACGTGCCCCTCCCTGGCCTCTGCATGCTTTGTGCAAGTGTTTGGTCACCCAGCCTGACCCTGCAGGGAGGAGATACCCTGCACACACAAAGCTGTTTTGCCTCACTCCATCTCTGCAAGAAGTATCTGTCTGCCTCCTCCATGTGTTCACTGACAAGACAGCACTTCACTCTCCCACTTGTGCCTCTTGATATCACTCAGGGCTGTGAATCCCCATCCTGAACAGACCCCTAAGCTCTCCTGAGCCAAGCCTGTCCCTGTAGTTATCCCCCTCAGAAGAGCATCCCCTAACAGAGCTGCTGTTGCCTAGAGAAGGCACTTGTATTTTTGTGTCTCTGTCTGTCTTACCTCCCCGGGCTGCCACTTTGCATCCAAGTGCCCCTTTACCTGAGCAGTGACTGCTCCTGCCTGCAGCCAAAGGAGAGCTTCCCCCTGGGCACTGTGCACGCTGCTTCCCTGGGCTCCTGCAGGGCTGCCCCTGGGTGCCCCGGGCACACAGGGCTCCCAAACCACGGCCACGCTGTGCCAGAGCCCAGGCAAACCTAATAAAGTGACACAGCTGTGTGTGGATCTTCCCCTGTGTGCTGGGTGTCTGTGTCCTGTGTTCAAGCACATGTTCTCTGTTTAGTTATGTGGAGCCACATCAGCCAGTCCTACCCAAAACCAGGAGTCATTGTACCTTGTGTGGTACCACGAGTGTCCCTGGAAGAGGAACTGCTCTGTTCCTCAGTCCAGCAGCCTGGACCCATTAGAAATGCTCCATGTGCAGCAGGTCTGCAGTGCAACAGCAAGCAGAAGTGAACTTAAAGCACAGTGAGAATTCATGCAAGGCACAGAGAAGGCCCAGGAGGGCTCCTACAAAGCCCAGTCCTGCCAGACACCCTCCAGGTCAACAGTCACTGGCTCTACTGTGAGCTCAGCCTTAGCTCTGACCCAGGAGGCACCAGAACCAGTTCACAATTTACCTCTTTCCCCCGCATCCCCCCTGCACACACGGTCACACAACTGCTGCTTTATTCACCACAGCCTTTAGTGCAGCTGACTGGTTAATCTTCAACTCGCTGCCAACTTTCTGCCCCACAGAAGAAGCCAGCCCTCCATCTGTCCCTAAGGAATCAGTGCAGCGAGGGGATCAATATTCCACATCTTGATGCAATTGTTAAACTGAACCTTTCCTAATCCACCATCTCAGAGTCAGGATAAACCTCAGGATTAAGCCTTCGGATATTGTGGCCCTTGTACTTAGAGGGTAGGGCCGTGGTCCCCACTTTGGGCTTATCTAGGCTGAGCCACTAAACACACAAAGCCTCCCCAGCAGCTCTGTTACCATGAACAGCTGCCTGGGGGCTTACCCTCCTCATGCTGTTCATGTTGGCTGTCAGGGGCATCTTGCAGAGCTGTCCTGACCTTCCCACTCCCTCAGAGAGGTGCTTTCCAAGGAACTCAGTGCCTGCAGCCTCCCTGCAGGGAACAGCCACCTCTGTCCCCCAGTGCTGCTCCCCAAAGTCACTGCTGACCTCAAGGGAGCCATTACCCCTTGCATTCAGCCACATCAGTCAGAATCCCAAAGCAAGTGAGTGTCTGGGCACATGGGGAAAAAAAATCCTGCTCACATTATAAATAGTTTGTTCCAAATGCCTTTTGAATTTTGATTAAGTACCAGAAGTGTGAACACACTGAGATCTGCATTGCACACGTACATCCAATTCCAAACTGTCTGTTCACCTGTCAGAGATGG